ACGAGGAGTTACAAACTTTGCTAGTCGGTTGTAAGTCTTATGTTCCAACAAGCCTTCCTTCAAGAAAAGTATCAGGGTCAAAGTCCAAAAGCAAAACAGCAATTTTATTGGGAGAGAGGGGTGTGGAGATAAAGCGAGAGCTAGACGTTGCTCGTGAAATTAACGAATAGAAAATAAGGCTCATGGACTTGACATTAACCTGTAATTACACACCCAGTTTTTCTTCACAGCATCAGTGTTTGCATTTTACCTCATCGTGATTGAAAGGAAATGACTAGACGGAGCATTTAAGATTGTTTTTCTCGTTCCTTGACATCATTTTATTAGCTATCAAAGCAGCTCCCGTACTCTTAGTGAACTGGACAAACCTCTCTCTCACTGAACATATACCTAGTCTTAACTCCTGAGACAATGTAGCTACGTCTTTATAGCCACTTAAGAAACTTCTAGCCTCATCCCTGATCTCAGGGAGAACAGGGTAGGGTTCATGGACATTGCCCCTGAGGGCAGGAGACCTTCCCCTCTGTCAGCCATCTGGGCCATAGTCCCGTTGAAGCCCTCATCCCAGCACAGTGCGGTGGGCTCCCACTTGGACGTGTGCCGTCCGCAGCCCAAGCTGGTTAAAGAATCTGATGAAAACTAGGCTCTGACCAGCAAGTGCAATCCAAGTCCAGGAAACGGATGAAGGGTGTGCGATTGCCCAGAAAGATTCCATATCCTCTGCTCTTTTACCTCAGTCTCTTTGTCTGGACTTCTCATGCCGTCGGTCCCTGGAGAGGACTGAGTGTACTATTACCTTTTCTATTTTTCCAGGCAAGGACTCTTGAAAGTTCCTTTGGCTCCTAGCAGGAACTTTGCATACTGCATTCTTTGTTGCTCCCTTTATCCCTTCTTCTTAAATCCTTCTCCCCTTTTCACAACCGCAGACTCTCAGTGCAGGCAGACCATCTCCTCTGATGGCCGTGCATCTTTCGAATGGACAGAATGAGCCCTCAAGCCCTGCTCCCAGGGGCCCAAGTCTAGCTTTATCCTGTGGTTTATTGACCTGCAGCTCACCTTTGCATGGCAGACTCGTGGGAGAACGTGGAGAAGGGCCACTCGCAGCTGCTTCGCCTTCGTTGATATTTATAACTCTTAACGTCAAACAGACGTTTACCTTTTATTTCTCGCCACAAGGGTGTGGGAAATAATAGTGCACGTTCCATGCTTGACCTCAAAGCCATTGGCGAGTGCTTAGGCTTTAAGATCATCTAACACAGGACAGTATAAGCTTTCCAAAATCCTTTGTGGATTCCAGAAAATGGAAGAATAGGTGGGTGGGTGGACGGACGGACGGGCGGACATTTTCAGTATTACTTTTACTAACTCAACATTGGTTGAGCACCTTCCATATTTAATGCTCTCTGTCTCTCACTGCCACACATGCTGGTCCTGGGCATCCCGCTTCAGAACTGTCTTGAATCCAGAGCCTCCTCCTATCTTGCTTGACTTCACACCCCAGCCTGATTAATCTCGTGTACTCCCTCATGCCCCTTCATCTTCTTTGCCCTGGCTAAGGTCACCTTTGTAAAACAAAAACCCGACCGGGTCACCCTCCAGCTCCACAGCCCCCCCCCCC